GCTAACAATGCTAATAAACATAATGAGACGAATAACAATAAGTCAAATAAGAGGAGGAGGAGGAGGAGGAGGAGGAGGAGGAGGAGGAGGAGGAGGAGGTGGAGGAGGAGTACCTGTCGGAGATAAGGGAGGTCCGAGTGCGGACAGTGGACAAGACAATCTGCTCCAAAGGGTTTTGCTGCACATTCGTTCGGAGTTCTCTCAGGCAACCCCATTTCGAGGGTGTTGATGAACTGCGGTTTTCCCTTTCTGGCAAAGCTTGTTTTTCCAGCACTATGGCCCCGAATATTCGGGCGCACGTCACAGTATACTCGTTCACCTTCGGCAACGCCGGCGAGTCATGTTTGAGGCCGCATTGTTTCTCAAGGAGAAGATGGAGAAGCAGCAGCGGGAATACAATGATGGGGATGATGGGGAGCGCAAGGATCAGTCATTCTCTGAGGTGGGCGTGGAGAGCCAGGGTCTGGCTTGTTATCACACTTCTTGCTGACGCCCCCCCACGTTGCAGAGTCGCGTGAGGTCGACCATAACATCCCCACGGCGCCTCGAGGGACTGGTAAAGTTGTGGTGGCCGATTTCGTCAAGGAGAACGATTCGAAGACGCAGATCATGACTCTCGAGGACGCATCCGATGTTACTATTCAAGCTCTTCTTCTCTTGCCTTTTCTCGACCGAGCTACAGTGTGCAACATTCCTCGCATCTCCAGTGCGAAGCGAATCCTGTATGGACTCTCGTTTGTGTGTGCGTGTGTATGTTGTGCCCACCTCGTCCGCTTGCACTGGAACGCGCGGTTCACTCTTGCCGCTATTTCACCTCCCACTTTTTGCAGCTAATGTTAAGTCGGGCATGTCCCTCTACAACAAATAGCCTGGGGACTTTTTTCTGAGCATATAAGGACCAATTTTAATTCCAAAAGCAGATTATTTTTTATGGCTAAGGCCTTACGGCCGGTGCCGCCGACCCTGGAGGCCTCGGCCCTCGACGGAAATGGGAGGGAGAGGGCGGGCCATGGGCCCCGGGAGGCTGGTATTCTGACCGGGACCCCACCTGGGACCCCCTTCCGGGACCCCCCCCCTTCGAGTAAACACCGACGTTGCTCAGATTGGCTTCCCCTCCGCGTCGCGGCCGCTCTCCTCCCCCGAAGGGAGCCGCCTGGGTGCCCCCTTCCGGGTATCCGGGTGGGACCCCCTCCCCACCCCACCTCCCACTCGGGGGAAAGGGATGAAAGGGAAGGGGCTTCCTTTCGAGTAAGCTGCGACGTTGCTCAGATTGGCTTCCCCCCCGTGTCCGGGGGGAAGCAGGTTGGCTTCCTCCCCGGGTCGCGGCCGCTCCCCTCCGCGTCGCGGCCGCTCCCCTTCCCCGAAGGGAGTTGCCCGGGTGCCCCCCCCCCTCTGCGTATCCGGCCCCCCCCTCGCCCCCCCCTTCGGGGGGAAGGGATTAAAGGGAAGGGGGCTTCCCTTCGAGTAAGCTGCGACGTTGCTCTGCTCAGATCGGCTCCCCCCCGTGTCCGGGGGGAGCAGATTGGCTTCCCCCCCGGGTCGCGGCCGCTCCCTTCGCCTGGGGAGAGTAGACCACTCCCCCTCTTGGAGCAGACGTGGCGGTGTCCTGGGCAGCTCCCCTCCCCCGAGGGGAGCCGACCACCCCTCTTGGAGCCGACGTGACGATCTCGTGGGCGACGACCCACGCAAGATGACGAGACCAGGATACGTCTTCCACACGCCGACAGGGTCGGCGGATTTTTCGTCATAAATCCGCCTGTAGGGGGGGACCACGCCCGACCTAAGGCTAGTGCTGCCGTTTCGGCGGTGGCCGACCTCTCGTTCTCGTCGCTCGTCGTACTGCGCCTCCAATTCTGGGGCTCTGCTCTTCCGCCCGCTGCACCCTCGCTGCCCATGCCCCAGCATGCGGGTGGCTGGTCGACCCAATGTGGGCCCCTCGCGCTCTGAGCGGCTCCCGCGCGCGCGCCCGCCCGCTCGGTGACTTTCTCCGCCTCAACGCTGCGCGCGAGGTCGCGGCCGCCAATAAGTGTGAGTGTGTGTGTGAGTGTGTGTGTATGTGTGTGGCCCGGCCGCCCCTCCGTCCTGCCCGTGCCGGGGTTCCTCCTCCTCCTCCTCCTCCTCCTCCTTCTCTTGCATTGCAGCTTTATTTGCATCCGCCCTGCACATGCCCTATCCGCCAGCGCAGTCGCTCTGCCTAACCGCCGAGGCAAAGAGCGTGTGTGTGTGTGTGTGTGTGTGTGTGTGTGTGTGTGTGTGTGTGTGTGTGTGTGTGTGTGCGTTCGTGCGTGCGTGCGTGCGTGCGTGCGTGCGTGCGTGCGTGCGTTTGTGCGTTTGTGTGTGCGTGTGTGTCCCACTGCTGCCTGCTGGCACCACGAGGCCGCTGTCGCCGCCGCCTCTTCCCTCACGCTGACGCAGCGGGGACCGGGGGCTGAGCGATCCCGCATCCAACTTGCGCACCACTTCCGGCGTGAGAGCTTTCGCAGCACCGCCGCGGTGCGAGGGGTTGATCGGCGGCACCCCAACATACTAATACTATGTGTGCGTCGCACCCACAGGGGTGACGCGCGCATCGATAAATCGTACAGTGTATGCATCGTGGCGGGCGCTTTCTGGCCGTACCGTTCGGGAAACGATATACTACAAGATGGGTATACTAAATGTTCGGGTCGGACGCGCGCCTCCGAGGATATCATACAGTATTAGTATGTCTCTGACGTCCCAGTTGAGGCTCCCAGTGGCTCGTGGCAGTCGAAGGCGTCTGACTTGGAGGAAACTCTCTGGAACAGTCGCGCCGCCTTTTGGGGGTCATTCCCTGGCCGACCTGACATTGGTCAAAGGGTGTTGGACGCCTACTTTGCCAGCAAGCATTCCCCGCCCCTCTCCCCCTCCCGCGGCCTGGCTGGAACCGACTCGCCGCCCTTATCCTGCAGCCCGAAGGCAGCGCTCCCGGTGTCGACGGCGCGCGTCATGAGGCTCGCGTTTCGTTGCCTGCCTGCTCGGACAAGTTGTCTTGCGGCAGGAGAAACCAGGCTCTTCTCGAGCGCGTCTTCGGCCCCTCGAAGGACCTCTTGGCCTGGATCCCCACAATCCCCCACTCCGAAAGCCCGGGGGTCTTCAGGCCTTTGCAGCTCCCTTCGTGTCTGCGTCGGTTTTTGGTGCTGCAATCGCTGACTCCTTTGGGCCTGTCCTCGAGCCCTGCTTCTCGCTCGACCAGGCCGTTATCAAAACTGTCTCCCATCTCGCGGCCCCTCCCCTCTGCCCCTGCCCCGCCAGGGCCGGCCTGGCGCGTTCAGCTTGGCCCCGATGATTACACTGTGGAGCGGTACGTTCGCCAGACCACCGCGCACCTGCCCACCTGCCCACCTGCCCTGCCAACGCGGTGCTCTTTGTTGATCAGAACAAAGCCTTCGAGCGACTCTCCATCCAATGGCTCGACAATGTTCTAGAGCGCTGGGGTCTCCCCAGCTGGTAGTGTCGGGGCCTTTCGGCCCTGTACAGCGGACGTCGCGTGCAGTCCATCAGCGACGGTGGGCAGCTCCCCCTGAGGCGACTCCTCCGCTCCAGCGGCATGGGAAAGACCGCCTCTCCCCATTGTTGGAGCATGGGCTACGCCCCCATCATTGCGGGCGCTGCTGAGCGCGCAGGGGCCAGGTGCCCCACGTGTGTCGACGACCTCGCTGCCCTCCTCGCTGACGCCGCCCAGGCCCTCAAGGTCACGATCTTCCTTGAGTGGGCCTCGTGGGCCGCCGGCCTCTACATCGCCGCCCGCACCTGCCGCGGCCTCTCCTTTCCCCGCTACTCACCAGCCTTGCATCGAGCCCTGAGTCAGCTCCCCCTCCACGCTGAAAGCAGTCCTGACGATGACGGGCGCGTGCTCGTCACCAAAATTACCCCCGTGCTCGCCTGGGCTCTCCTCGCCAGCAGGATCGGGCAGGCAGCGGCTGATGAGGCCACCCCTTTCGCTGATCCGTGCCAGTGCTCTCTCAAGACGGCCCTTGTACCCGCTGGCGCCAGCGAATCGTGGGGAGAAGTCCTGGACTTCTCCCCCTTCGGCAGCTCAGCCGTGCGCCACTCCTGGCCATATCTCGGTGCCACTGTCGTCAGCTGCGTCCCGCCTGGGCAGGCCTCCAACGACGGATGGCACGAGGACGAGCAGATGGAAGCTTCACGGGAGGCCACATTGGCAAAGGCCAAGAGCAAGGCTGCCGCGTGCGCGCAGAATATTGGCCACGCCCAGCTGTCCGCTGGCAGGCGAGCCGAGCTCTGGAACTGTCGCGTGGCTTTTTTTGCCCTATAGCACGCCCAGTTCGTCCCGCTGAGCTCTCCCCTCGAGGTCCTCGCGCGCGCACTGACGGGTGGCGCTGGGGTGGCTGGCGCTCGCTACGCCCCGCTCGCACTCCTGGCGGGTATCGCTCCCGTCTTCGGTGTCCGCGCCGTCCCCAAGCGCATCATCGCCGCCTCCCGCGCAACCACTTCCCTCGCCTACGCACGCTACGATTTCTGGGGTCCCCCCCGGGTTTGCAGGAGGCGGCCACGACCGGGGCCGCGCTCTCTGGGTGGGCGCAGAACTTCCCTCACGTGCCAGTTGCAGCCGCTGACGGTCGTCGCGGTCCACTTTCCCCGGCTCGCGCTGCCTTCAGGGTCCTGCCCATCCAAGAGCCTGGCCTCCGCGACAATCGGGGCCCTGGGCTCGGCCGCGCCCGTGCGTTGCCGCTTTGGCGGCGCGGAACCATTCCCACGTGCTCAGCTGTGTGCGCAACCACCCTGCTGGACGAGCACGCTCACCCAGGTCATGGTGGCGAGCGGGCGCTGCTCCCTGCAGGGTCCTCTTATGAGGGTCCTCTTATGCGGTGGCCCATCACATCATCGGGCTCCCCTGCAAGGGGCTTCCAGGTCCAGACAGGTGGCGCGGCGACGCCGACCGCCTCGACCACGCGTGCAGCGGGCGCGGGCTGCCTGCTGCTCCCGCCCCCCCCCGCTCGCAGGGCCTCGTCCGCGCTGTGGCTGCCTGCGAGCCCGCAGCCCGGTGTTGCTACTCGCGCGAGCGGATTGCTTCTGCCGCGCCGCGAGGTCAAAAAAGCGGGGAGCCATCCGTCTTCGTCTGTCACGCGCCCACGCAGGCTCGGCACGGAATCGAATGGTGTTCAGATTGCTTCGGTTCTTGGGCGCCCTCGCCTGTCAAGTGGGCTGGGCTACTCGACCACCTCTTGCCAGCCCAGTTGTTCGCCACTGCTTAGGGAGCCAGGACCCTTTGCCGCCCTTTCCCCGTCCCCCTTCCCCTCTTCTCCGGTCGCTTCGCCGTCTGCCCGCTCTGCGGGCTCCCTTGCCGGGAGCGTTTGCTTGCGGGGGCCGCCCGCCGCCGCGGCCCCCCCCCAGGAGGTTGCGTGCCACGTCGCACACGCAGTTGGCCCCTCTGAACCCCCTGCCTCGGTCACCGCTGACCCTGGCTCCATCGGGCAACTCCCCGCGGCCCCTCCGTGGCTCCCTGCCCTCCCGCTTACCCCCCCCGTGGTGCAAGCGCGAATGTTGCCTCCTTGAGCTGCTTGAGTTGCGGGATGCACTCTTGGTGTTTTCGCCACGGCGCTCCGCGTGATGCTGCTTGTTGCGGCTGGGTCGTGCCCCAGCTTCGCTCCCCCTGCTGGTGACGCTTCCCCGAACACGGTTCGGCACTACATTGTAGACGCGTGGATCGACTCGGGGTGCCCCCCGCTCAAAGACCACCGCAACCCCGCGACCTGGGTGCGGAACCCCCTGGCCTCGTGGAGGGCTCCCCCCGCTGGCCCTCCCGACCCTTCCTTGGCACCGCCCTGTCTCCAGGAGATGCCGGCAGACGACCTCCGCAAGCTGGTTCACGCCGTAATCAGGATTCGCTGCCCCTCGGGTCGGGAACCACGTGGCAGTATGTGCCCGGTTCATCACATGTGGCGGCTTCTGATGCGGGGCCTACGCGGGTTTCTTCCCCATTCCAGACTTGTCTCCCTCACCGCGGCCCCCTGGGCGCTCAAGTGGATGCCCGTCGTTTTCGTCCATCGCCTCCTAGCGCTTGGTGGCGAGCTATATTGTTACGGTCGCCCCTCGCAGTGCCTACAGTGCGGACCCCCGTGGCCCACGGCGTTCCAGGTCGAGAGCCGCCAGAACACAGGGCCACCAGTCCAGCGCGCACGGTAACCTTGCGGCGGCACAGCAGGGCCTCACGAGGTCCCGCTCCCCTGCTTGGCTCACCCTCGCGCTTCTGAGGCCAGCGCCTCGGACGCAGGCGCGGCCGTCGCTGCTGATTTTTTTAATTACCCCAGTATTCAAGGAGTTTTCCAGGAATCCTGACGAGCACTTGCAGCGTCAGCTGGCGATGCTTCCCTCATTCTGTCCTTTCTCCTGCTTTCTTCTATCCTCCGTAGTCATTTGCCTCAAGTGGCCCGTGCGGGCCGCAGGGTGAGTACAGACTTGAACGGATACTTCACTTCACATCTTTTGGTGCCTTCCGTGCAGTGTTCAGGGGGGCAGAGACCCCAATGCAGAGTCCAGGAGGCTTGATGTGGAATGGTAAACATATATCGTATCATCATTCTTCTTGCCGTCAAACAGTGCCTCAACAGAGCGTTCGGTGGCAAACTACTGGTTATCAGCCGAAACAGCTCTATGAATTTTCTGAGTTGAGGGACTTCACTGCAGTGGCTACACCGGCGACGACACATGGGCGACGAGCGCACCATAGACGGTCACCGACAGCCATGCAGCGTCGTTTGGAGAAAAAGCAGGAACGCTTCTCAGCTCGCCAGGTCGTGCACGAAGAGCCCCATTTGCAAGACAAAGCGGAGGAGATCATGACAGCCATCCTGAATCTCAGAAACGAGGTGAACAGTATGATTGATCTCACGCACAAGCACTTGAAGGTGATGCAGGAGAGCTTGTGCACGATGCAGAACTCGCTCAACGATTGCTTCAATATGCCCGACGCTACCGAGGCGCCAAGCGCCAAGGCGGCAGCTGCCGAGGCGCCAGACGCCTAGGCGGCAGAGGCACCGGCTCTCAACACTCCTCCAGACGCTTTCGGCCAGCCCGAAGGCGTCGCCGCTGCTGCCAGCCAGACTGACGGCCGCGGGAAGGGAAGTGCAGAGGCCCGAGAAGACACGCACAATCAGCAACGACAGACTGTGCGACATCCAGGGGGCGCCGTCTGCTTCGAGATCGGTCCGGGCGCCGAGAACGAGGAGCAGCGCGAGGTTGTCCTCGATGCCGGGTGCGTTGCAGTGGCTACGCCTGCCGTGGATCCAAACCACAAGCGTCTCTTCGAGAGCCGCCCGCTCCCTGGGCCTTGATGGGTCCGCGTTCGAGATGCATTTCACTTTCGAGAGCCAATTGCTGGTGATCGTGTTGTGGGATTATCTCCAAGTCCGTACGATGGCGAACGAACTGGAACGTTGGTTCAAAGGAATACCTCGTCCCTCTTGAAAGAAAGTGAAATAGGTTGCAGGTGGGGCGTGCTTGTTGACGACGGTACTCAGAACTGGTTGGAGAAAGAGATTGGCTGGCACGAGAAAGAGGTCGTGATCCCCCCTTCATCCTGAGAGCACACTGAGATGCGCGAGTGAGTACGCAGCGCTTGTCGAATCCGCTGGACAGGGGGAGTTTTCTTTTTTCCCCAGTCATAAAGGAGTTTTCCAGGAATCCTGACGAGCACTTGCAGCGTCAGCTGGCGATGCTTCCCTCATTCTGTCCTTTCTCCTGCTTTCTTCTATCCTCCGTAGTCATTTGCCTCAAGTGGCCCGTGCGGGCCGCAGGGGGAGTACAGACTTGAACGGATACTTCACTTCACATCATTTGGAGCCTTCCGTGCAGTGTTCAGGGGGACAAGACCCCAATGCAGAGTCCAGGGGGCTTGATGTGGAATGGTAAACATATATCGTATCATCATTCTTCTTGCCGTCAAACATTGCCTCAGCAGAGCGTTTGGTGGCAAACTACTTACTGCGGCGCCCCTCTGCCCCCCTTTTTTCGCGGCGCCCCTGCGGCCACCATTTTTTTTTTCGGAATCTGAGCTTTCGGTTTTGCTTCCCGTGGCCAGCGTGCCCCGCCACAAGCTCGGTGGCGTCTGGCCGTTCGTGTATAACCTGGTTCTCAAGGCCAGATTTTCGCACGCGTGCCTTGAGGCCTGCGTGCCGCGTCCTGAGGGATCCCGCGCGGCGCGAGGCCGCGTTTGGCCGTCGCCAGAACCACAGAGTTTGCCCCGATGCCCCGCACTGCGCCGCAGCAGAGGGGTTCTTGCCCTCCAGTTCTTGCTCGGCGAATCCGGCCGCCGCCCGCGGGCCCGTGCGCGTGCGACCTCCGCAGTTCTGGGCCTCCCAGATGGGGTTCGAGCATGTGGGGTAGGAGGGTCGCACCGCATCGCTGTTGCATCGGCGATGCGGCGCGATCCTCCGAACCCACATACTCCGACCCCATCTAGGATCGGGCCGGACGAAAGGGGCGGATTGGGAAAGGGGGGGTTATGAAATCTGCTGCGTGCAGCTGGTTTCGGCCCCACCGAGGGGCCCATTCCTCGATACATAGCCGCCTCCGGCGCCAGGAGGCGCCGGGAAAATCAGCTACGTGAGCTGATTCTCACCTCCCCCCTTTGCTATACCCCCCTTTCGCCCGGCTGTCCGCCCGTCCCCTTGGACTGCGGCGCCCAGGGCCCGTGGCCAGCCGCGGCCCTCGCCAGGGTGCCGAAGTCGCCTGCGCGGCGGGTGAGGCCCACGCCCACCGTGCCCGCTTGTGGCCGCCGAGGCCCCCCGGGGGGTGCGCGGCCCGTCGTCGGGGTCGCGTGGCCTCTGCTCGCGGGTCCCGCGGCGCAGGTGCTCCGTGGTTCAGGAGGGACAACACACAGACACAATTAATCATCGATTCCCCAGAAAATATGGGAAAATATGGGAAGTGGGGGGGAAAACGAGAACCCAGAAAATATGGGAAAACATTGGGAATCCAATTGTTTGTGTGTATTGAATTGTGGGTCCCAGGGCTCCTTCGGTGGTTCTCGGTGGCAGCGACAGGGGCGGATGGTTCAGGAGAGCGCGTTGTCGGAAACTGGAACACCTACATTACCAGTGGCGGGCGGTTTTTCAATCCCAGGACTTTTGTGAGGGTCGGGGGCGACGTCGGGGTGGTGTGGTGTATATTTTTTTCCCCCCCTTTCCTGGGGAGTCAACGAAGAATGTGTACGCCAGGATCCCGTATACACACTAGGATCCGCTTTCCTGTGCGAGATTCAGTGTGAGGCCAGACAAAGGCGTTGGTGTCTAGAGTTCGGTTCCCTACGTTGCACGTATCCGGGAGCTCTGCTGGCCGATGTACAAGGGAGGAAAAACCACCCGGGCCCGACAACTGGCGTTTATTGAACGGCCCTGGGCGTTTACTGAACAGCCCTGCCCTGTTAGATTCCTTTTGTGGGCGCGTTTAGTAAAAGGCTTTGCGTTTCGGGGTGGTTCTTATGGGGGTGGATTTTCTGCCCTCTTAGATGTCCTCGACGAGACTCCGTGGCAAATATGTGCGATGCCCGCCCCTGGGCTATCCGCCGTTTTGCCTCCGCCTATCGTGGCGCCTTTGGTGTCGCTCGCAGTCCCGCCGGAGGTGTGCCGTCACACCGCACGGTGGCCCCCGACATTCCGAGTCGCTGTCGATCAATCGATCGATCGTTGCCTGCTCTGGGCCCGCCGGTGCGCCCCCCCTCGTGCCCCATGGCCTCTCTGACGGCTTCGGGAGCCCTTTCTCTTAGAGCACCACGGACGGGCTGAGGGGCTCCGGATGCATGGCTGCGGCTCCCGCGACCCAGCCGTGCACGCCGATGTACGCCGAGCGATCCTGGGACCAGGGCCGGCCCTGCCAGGACCGTGACGGGTGTGCAAGACGGGTTCGCGGAGCCCGTCGGTGGCCATTCGTGCGTGCCCGGGGGCTCTTCTTGGCCCCCCCGCGCGCGGTCGATGCTTCGGGCCCCTTCGGCAGGTCTACCTTCGGCAGCCGTGGCGTTTGCCCCGACCCTCCCCTCTTCTTCTTCCTCCCCTCCTCCTCCTTCATGCTCCCTCCTCCTCCTCCTCCTCCTCCTCCTCCTCCAGCTCGTCGTCCTCCTCCTGCTGATGGTCCTCCTCCTTGGTGCGCGTGCGCGCTCTCCCGCGCGCGCGGGCGAAGACTGGAGGTGACATCAGGGCGACAGGGTTCTAGGTGCCATCGCGGGGCATGTGCTGATGACCTGCTGGTTTTGGCTTCTTGTGCGGCGGACGGGAAACCCCCTCATCCTCCTCTCCTTCCTCCTACCCGTACTTCTCTCCCTCCTTCTCCTGCTGCTGCTGCTGCTCCTCCTCCTCCTCCTCCTCGTACTCCGTCTCCACCGCCTCCTCCTCCTGCTGGTCCTTCGTGTTCGTCGTCCCCCCCTCCCCCTCCTCGTTTCTCGCCCCTTTCCCCTGCCTTCCCCCTGCTCTGTTCGAGCTCCTGGTGAAGTCTGGGCGCATGCGCTGAGAGAAAAACGTGAAATACACTGCACACGAGAAGGACGACGACGCGCCCCCTGCCCCTCCGCCTCTCCCTCCCCTCCCCTTCCTCTACCCCCCCCGTTGCCCCCGCACCGACGGAGGACAACGTGCAGGCGTTCGGGCTGACCTATTTCGGCATGAACGACAAACGCCAGGGCATCGTACACGTGATCGGGCCCGAGCAGGGGTTCACGCTGCCGGGCACCACGGTGCGGCCCCTCCGCTCTCCGCCCCCCACCGACGAACAATGTCTGTGGCGGCGGCGGTGAGCTACGGCGGCGACGACGAACATCATCAAGCATAATACAACCCCTGACCCTAGTAACACAATGCATTCATGGCCTAACTTAGTTCCACGGCCTTAGACATGTCGCTAAACATACGGGTGGCACCGTCTCCATACATCTGGACTGGAGGGAAGGCCACCCTCTCCCTAGTGTTTTTGGCCCTCCTAACTTAGGTCCCTGGCTTAGGGGATGCTTTTATATCTTCTCAGAAAATGACCCCTTCGGCAGGTCGTTTGCGGCGACAGCCACACCTCCACGCACGGAGCCTTCGGCGCCCTGGCCTTCGGGATCGGCACGTCCGAGGCCAGCCTCCCGGTTCTCGTCGTCGTCGCCACCGCCGCCGCCGTAGCCGCTGCTGCTGCTGCTTCTGCTGCTGGTCGTCGTCGTCGTCGTCTTCGTCGTCGTCGTCGTCTTCGTCTTCTTCGTCGTCGTCGTCGTCCTCGCCCCCCCTCTTCCGCTCTCGCCCCCCCCTTCCTCTGCTGCCGTTCCTCCCTCCTCGTTATCCTCTTCTTCTTCGTCGTCGTCGTCGTCCTCCACCTCCTCCTCCTCTTCCTCCTCCTCCTCCTCCTCCTCCTCTTCCTCCTCCTCCCCCTCCTCCTCCTCCTCCGCCTCCTTTTCCTCCCCCTCCCCGTCCTCCTCCTCCTCCTCCTCCTCCTCCACCTCTCTCTCTCTCTCTCTCTCTCGAGGAGGAGGAGGAGGAGGCGAAGGAGGAGGAGGAGGAGGCGAAGGAGGAGGAGGCGGAGGAGGAGGAGGAGGCGGAGGAGGAGGAGGAGGAGGATGAGGAAGAGGTTCCTGGTCCAGTGACTGGCGCGACGATGCCGAGCGCGGGCCATTCGACCTAGGAGGAAGATCAAGTAGGCTCGGTGGCCGTAAGATTCATTACCAAGGAGCTCTCGAATGGGTTCCATATCTACAGGCAGCACCCTCATTACTACCAGGGTCTTAACGACGAGATGCGGCTTAAATTGGACCGGCGCCCTGTGGAGTGGCACTGCGCCTGGCTTATCGCGACCCTGACTCTTAAACGCAAGCTGCGGGGCATTAACAGGGGGAACTTTCCTTGCGGGGCCTTTGCTGGCAGGCCTGGTTCACGTCGTGCGTCTTCGACCAGTGGGCTATTACCGGGCAGCGCTGGTTCGTTGATCCGCAGAGTAGGTTCGATTACCCGGTCGCCGAGAAGATCAATCCTTCTCTGTTACCGTTCATCTGCGCCCCAAACGCTTCTCACTGGGCAGCCCTAGGCACTTGCCATCACCGTGCCGACTACCATTCGTCAGAGGGACTGGGGTGCTGGGTTAACGAAGAGGAGTGGAGCCAGGCGTACGACGACACCACTTACACTAGCAACGCCCAGAAGGAGGGCCGCAGCCCCCGTTACCGTTCGAGCACTCCAGGCTGCCAGGCCACCCGGAGGCAGGCGGGAAGGGCGGCCTCGCGGCTGCCGAGGAGCTCGTGCTTAACGAGCCACCAGGCAGCTCACCTGACCTCCTCTGCGTTGGGACCTCATTAACGGTATTTGCTTTCTCATTCACGATATTGGACTTTCTCTCATCCTTTTCTCACTACCTCGTGGGCGTGATCAGCTGAGTTGCACATGCATGTGGAGATTGATTTGCTTATGGAGAATATTGGCACGTAAAATGCGAAACCAGCCATAATCATCCAAAGGCTAGCTCTCTGTAGAGCGTGTCAGCTTTTTTTCATTGTTCCGAGTGCTATTCGCACACGAGTTTAACGGGTTTTCCAGCTGGCACGGTGAACGCACAAGCGGGTGAATTCACATTGGTTACTTGGGCACATGCCCCCGTACTTGTCGACTTGTATTACCGATATCTTCCCCGTTGTTCTAACGGCTGTGCCGGCCGAGGGGGGTGCCAAAGCATGTAGTGGTAATTGGGGAAGTCTGTGAATGCCAGTGGGCTCGAACAGGGGAAGTCTGTAAATGCCATTGTAAAGTAACGCAATCATTTGGCTCGAGCATAGTATTACCTGCTGGAGCCCAACGCTGTGCCTGGCAGTAGAGAGCGCTTGCTTACTACTCCTCTTGGATATTTTGCTGGAGGAGGAGGAGGAACAGACAAAAGAGAAGGAGGAGGAGGAAGAGGAAAAGGAGGAGGAGGAGGAGGAGGAGGAGGAGGAGGAGGAGGAGGAGGGGGACGAGGAGGAGGAGGAGGAGGAGAAGGAGGAAGAGGAGGAGGAGGAGGAGAAGGAGGAGGAGGAGGAGGGGCAATGAGGACGAGGAGGAGCAAGCTTCTTGGGCCCCCTTGGGGCCTCTTGGGGCCTCTTGGGGGCCTCCTGGGGGCTTCCTGGTGAACCTCTTGGGCCCCTCACCACCAAACGGCACTTTTGGCACCATAGGAGGGGGAAAGGGGGAGGGGGACAGCCAATCATCATTCACGTAATGTCACCCCCGGTAAGCGGGCTTAAAAAGCTTCTTGGGCCCTCTTGGGGCCTGTTGGGGCCTCCTGGGAGCTTCCTGGTGGGCCACTGTGGTCCCTCGCCACCAAACGGCATTTTTGGCACCATAGGAGGGGAAGAAGGGGAGGGGGACAGCCAATCATCACTCACGTAATTTCACCCACGGCAAGCGGGTGTCGGCGGATCTAGGCCCGGTGGCCGCTGTAATGAGGAATGCCCCACGGCCACAGGCCGTGAGCATTTCCATCAAGTGCACCAGGGACTGGCCGCAGGTTCTCTGTAAACTTGAGCTCGCCCAGAGGCAGGGCATGCGGAGGCCCGGGCGTCGGCTTCATATCGCTACGCGATCAGGCAGAGTCTCCAGAGTCTCCTCCTCTTACTGCTGTTCCTCCTCCCCCCTCCTCCCCACCTTCTGCTGTTCCTATCCCCCTCTTCCATCCGCCTTCCCTCTTCTCCCTTCCTCCAGGAGGGCGAGGAAGGAGGGGAACGAAAGAGATGGTTGATCATGATGAGAAGGGGGGGAGGAGGTAGGTAGACAGTGGAAGGAGGAGGAGGAGAAGCAGGATGGAGGAGGGGGAAGAGGAGGGGGAAGAGGAGGAGGAAAGAGGCATGAGGGAGAAGGAGGAAGTTTGAACAAGGAAGGGGGAAGGATGGGGATGCTGGTGATGATTATGATGATGATGTCCATGATGATGCTGCTGACGATGATGATGGTGCTAATGATGATGATGATGATGATGATGATGATGATGATGATGATGATGATGATGATGATCATGATGATGATGCTGATGAGGATCATGGTGGTGGTGGTGGTGCTGCTGATAAAGGTGGTGCTGCTGCTGGTGATCATGACGACGACGGCGATGATGATGATGATGCAGCTGATGACGATGATAATGCTGATGATGCTGATGATGATGATTATTCTGGTAAAAATGATGTTGATGATGCCAATGCTGATGATGATGATGCTGCGGATGCTGATGATGGTGGTGATGATGGCGGTTGTGATTCTCACGACGATGATGACCATGCTGTTGTTGATGATGAGGATGATGGCGATGATGTTGACGGTTAACGTTATGATCATGATGGTGATGATGACGCTGATGCTGATAATGATGGTAATGATGCTGATGATGCTGATGACCATGATGCTGACGATGCTGACGATGATGACGCTGCCGCTGATGATTCTGATGGCGGTGGTGGTGAGGATGACGATGACGACGGCGATGATGGTGATCATGCTGATGATGATGCTAATGCTGATGATGATGATGCTGATGCTGCTGATGATGCTGATGATGATGCGGATTCTGTTTCTGATAAGGGTGTTGTTGTTGGTGGTGGTGGGGGTGATGATGACGATGATGATGATGATGCTGGGGATGCTGCTAATGATGCTGATGTTTGTGTTTATGACGACGATGATGGTGATGGTGGTGTTGGTTGTTGGTGATAGTGATAGTTGCGATAATGATTCTTATGGTGACGATGACGACGTTCATGATGCTGCTGATAAAGACGATGATGGCTATGATACTGATACTGATGTTGATGATGAGGATGAGGAGGAGGAGGAGGAGGACGAGGAGGAGGAGTAGGATACGTATGATGATACTGATGATGCCGATGCTGCTTATGATGATACTGATAGTGATAGTGATAATGATAATGCTAATGATAACGACAATGATGGTGATAATGATGCTGATGATGCTAATGATGGTGCTGATGATGCTTAGGATGAAAATGACGATGATGACGAGAATGATGATGGTGACAATAATGGTGATGCTGATGATGATGATGATGATGATGATGATGATGATGATGATGATGATGATGCTTGTTAACGGTCTCCGTAGCCCTTAAGGCTCAAAAAGGTATCATCGATATCAGCACCACGCCATTTTCATGGCAGCGGAGCGCTGTCAGATCCACGACACATTTTAGTTCCAGTAACGCATCCCTTCGCCAGGTGTCTGCTCGGGCACTGGCGCCTCTTGTGCAAAGATGGCAGAGGCGGACGACCTGCTGAGGTTGGCGAGGCCGCCGACCTTCAGCGGCAAGGAAGATGAATGGACAGAGTGGAGCTTCGTTATGCGGAGCTACGCGTTGGTGCAGGCTCCCGAGATGACCCACCTGATCGAGGCGGCGGAGAGCGCAGCACGCCCAGACATCACATTAGACAACATCCAGCAACTGCTGGGTGCTGGAGGAGTGGCGGCGGCGAAGAAGCTGTTCCACATCTTAGTCATGAGCGTCAAGGGGCCAGCTCTGGCCGTATTACGTGGAAATCGCGAGGCAAATGGAGCTGGGGCTTGGCGAACACTGACCCAAAGGTACGAACCGAACACGGCGCCCAGAGTACAGAGCTTGATGAGCTCGATCCTAGCGACGCCCCAGTTTCCATCCGACCTCCCGGGCTACGAGACGGCCTTGGGCGAGTGTGAGGAGACGGTACGCAAGTGGGAGACTATTTCGGGCGACCGGTTCAACGCGTCCATGAAGAAGGCGCTGTTCATAGACAAAGCTCCCAAGTCGGCAGAACTTGGACACCTACGAGCAGATGACCATGGTGACGCTACAATTCATGCAAAGCAATGCGCAGTATTTGGCCGGCGGGCCAGTTTCGCCGAGGCCGCGACGAGAGCGAGACCCAAACGCCATGGAGGTCGACGCGCTGACGAGGAAGGGCTAGGACGCCAATCGCAAGGACGAACGAGGCCGAGGTATAGGCAAGGACGACAATAACGGTAACACGATCAACATACAGGCCTTTTGGATCAAGGACGCGGGGTGCTTCATATGCCGCAAGAAGGGCCACTCGGCGGCCGATTGCTGGCACAACCCCAAGGGCAAGCCGCAGGACTCCAAGGGCAAGGGCAAACGAGGCACGAAGAAGGGCATCAACGGGCTGACGAGCCAGGGGCCCTGGATCGCTTGGAAGGCAGCAGCAGACGCCTTCACAGCGGCCTCGTCTGCAGGGGCACCGTCGACTTCGGCGAGCCAAGCCCCGGGCCACGTGGCGAAGCTCACGTACCACGAGCACGAGGGCGATTACGCAACCAGCTACATCTTTGCCATCACGGCCCGATCGAACCATGTGAACTACGTTGGATACAACGTTGGTCCATGGCTTCCTATGTCAGTCCTTGTGGATAACTGTGCCGACGAGCCCGCCTGCGGTCCAGAGGACTTCTATTGGTGTGGGATGCAGCCCAGGGCCGACCCGAATCTCGAGGCAGCCAACGGCCACAATGTCAGACACTACGGCGAGCGCTCTGTCAAGCAGAAGCTGAATGACGGCAAGAATATCATCATCACTTTCCAGGTGTGCGACGTGAAGGGGCCCATCCTGAGCGTCGGCAAGTTCTGCGGCTACGACTCGAACAGGAACGCCAATTACAACATGAACGGAGGTACCCTATGCCACGAAGCGGCTGGCGAGGTGAACGTGGACAGAGCGAAGAACCACTGCGCGCTGCAGTGCTGGGTGGAGAAGCCAGGCGTAGTGGCGCCGCTCTCGGCGGGCGGCAGCTCGGGCAGCGCGCCCGCGGGCCAGGCGGCCCCGGCGCCGCAGGGAGACGAGCCGGCACCACAGCAGGGCAATGCCGACCATTTTCAGTCAAAAGTGGTCGGTTTCCGTGGGGCGCCACTCCGAGCTGACCGAGCGGTGCAGGGAGATCTTCAGCCTACAGGAGCACATGCGCCACCGGCAGGAGTGGACTACGTCGAGCAGGAGGTGGTCCCAGTCCAGACTTTACCAGGGCCGAAGGAGCCGAGCAAGGAGGAGATCGAGATGCATAACCTATTGCACGACCCGCCGACGCCGTGGTGCGAGATCTGCATCGAGGCGAAAGGCAGGGGCGCCTGCCGCGGGGCCGCCGCCCAGAAGCCGATGCCCGTCATCCAGTTCGACTATGCGGAGGCGGGCAGCGGAGACAGTGATGTCCCGAATTTCGAGTTCATGGTGGGCGTGGACATGTCTACGGGAGCCGCGTGGGCGTCGGCCGTGCTGGTCAAGGGGAAGGAAGACGTCTACGTCGTTCGTTCCATCGTGTCCTGGCTAGCAGAGCTGGGCCACGCAAAGGGCATCGTCCAGTCTGATGGAGCGCTGGCGGCAGAGGCTGTCATGAGAGCCGTAAAGGCGAAGGTATCGACCATGGAGTCGCCGCTGTGCGAGGTCATTTTTTCAGCAGTCCCAGCGGTGCAGCCATCAGAGTAACGGAGGGGCAGAACGCATGGTGCCCACCATCCAGAACCAGATGAAGGCCTACAAGATCCACATCGAGACGAACACGGGCATGGCCATCCTGCCAGACTCGCCGCTACTGACGTGGTTCCCGAGGCGCGCCGCCTGGCAGTGCGCGAGGTTCCACAAGCGGCAGGGCTCGGGCAGGACGGCCTACGAGAAGATCAGGAGGGTCCCCTACCAGAACCCGATACTCCTGGTGGGCGAGACGGTGGCGTGCCGCCGCCCAGGGGCCGTCATCAATAAGGTCGAAACGACGTGGCTGGAGGGAGTCTGGCTAGGAAGGGATTACAAGACGGACGAGCATCTCATCGGGGCCCCGAACGGCCTGGTGAGGAGCCGAGCGCAGCGCAGGCGAGTCGAGAGAAAGCGCTGGGGCCGGGCGATGCTGGAGGCCATGAAGTGGGACCCCTGGAACGCTACGCCAGTGGCCAGAGGTCGACCGCCCAAGGTCCGGAGCGACCAGGAGCCCATGCTGATTGGACCTTTACCGCTACAGCCTCTTCCAGGAGTGGCACCTGGTCGAGCGCCAGGCCCGGCGGCGGCGCAGGCGGCGCCAGCGGCGCCAGGGCAGTCGGCCCCAGCGCCTGGGCCGGACGCCCCAGAGACGGCGGCTGCTCCGCATGCCGCGCCCGCGCCCGTGCAGGAGGCGCGCCCATGGACGTGGTCGGCGCAGCCCTGGAGCCTCGCGAGCGAGCCAAGAGGGCGCGTGTGGCCGCGGGACAAGCCTCATTTTCAGCCAAAAGTGGTTGGTTTCCGCGGGGCGCCGACCAGCTTGCAGCGCTACCAGGCCGCCACCTTCCCTGGGCAGCCAGCGGCAGCGGCGGCGATTCCACCGACTTCGCCGCAGCCGCAGTCGGCGGCCGAGCGCGACGCGTGGGCGCGTGCGAGGCTGGGAGACCCACAGGCGGCCCCAGTGCGGCGCGGTGACGCAGGTGATGAGGAAGCACCGCCAATTCAGAGACGACGAGTGGCCGTGCTCCGTGAGACGTGCGAGGACGACCGCGAGCCGAACACTTTCGTGGAGGCCAGAATGAAGCACATTGATAAGCTGACGGAGGTGCCTGGCAAGATCATCAAGGAGGTCAAGAGGTCCGAAGCCAAAACCATCCCCCTCTCGGGGCGGTGGGTCGAAAACCAACATGACGACGGGGCGCTGAAAACCAGGTGGACTACGAGAGGCTACGAACAGACCCTCGAAGGCAACGAGGACTTCTTCTCGGCGACTCCAGCAACGGTGCACATCAAGCTGATGCTGGTGGACGCGTCCAAGAAGGGCCATGTTGCAGCTATAGGGGATTGCAGCGGCGCGTTCTACCAGGCGCTTCTCGACCCCGATGGCAACCAGGAGAAGGTGTACATCGAGCCCCCGCCAGAGGCTGGGCTAGGGCCAGATGTGGTCTGGGAGGCAGTGTCGGCCTTCCCCGGCTTGAAGGGTTCGCCCGAGGCTTGGGAGACCCGCAGCAGCGGCGTCTTGACGGATGAGATGCACTTGGGGCAGTCGCACTACGACGGGTGTGTTTTCTACAGGGTCGAGGGTGAGTTCGACCATAAGGCAGGGGGGCACATCGACGACTTCCTTGTCGCGGGGCCGAAGTCACAGGTCGAGGCCTTCCTCGGCGAGGCGAAGGAGAAGCTCAACGTGCAGGACGCTGTGCGCCTCTACGAGACGGGCGACGAGGGGAGATTGCCGGCCATGAACCTCAGGAAGATTGAGGGAGGCATCGCGCTGCAGTGCAACCCTCTGTTGATCGCGGACATGGCTGAGTTGCTAGGTCTGGAGATTGCGAAGTACAGCGCCGTGCCAGAGACGGCGAACGCCAAGAAACAGAGCGACGACGACGATGACGTTGACTACTCCGGCGCAAAGCTGTACAAGTCGCGCGTCGGCAAGGCCGTGTATGTAAACCATCGCCGCGCAGACATACAGCATGCAGTGAAAGCGCTTTCGAAACACATGAAGCAGCCGACGAAGGGGGCGCTCAGGAGGCTGAAGAAGCTCGCGCGGTACCTTTTGGGCACATGCGACGTCTACCTGGAGTTGGCCCCGAACCAGGGCGCGGAGACCTCGAATGCCTTCGCCGACAGCGACTGGGCAGACGACGAGGACACCCGGAAGAGCGTCAGCGGCGGGGCCATCCAGATGCACGGCTGCTCGGTGCTGACCTACGCGAGGACCCAGAAGACGCCGGCGCTCTCGTCGGCGGAAGCCGAGCTCTACGCCATCGGCTCTGGGGCGATCGAGACCCTCGGTGCCGCCCAGCTTCTGACGGAGTGGAAGTACGACGGCGTGTACCCGCTCCTGATGACGGACTCCCAGAGCGCACTCGTGGTGTGCCCGAAGCGAGGTTCTGGGAAAATGAAGCACGCGGAGTTGAAGATGTTGGCCATCCAAGACTGGGTGAAGGAAGGGCGGCTTCGCATCCACAAAGTATCCACTCGCGAGAACCCGGCGGACCTGATGACGAAGGGGCTGTCCGTCGAGAAGATGACTCGGTTCGGCCGCGCCCTCGGCTTGCGCGGCGGGCCGTTCGGATACTAGAACAGGGCTTCAGCCAGGTCCCTCTCAGGTGCTCGAATCGGCCTCTTCGCGCGCCGGTGCGGAAGGAAAAAACCGACCATTTTCAGCCAAAAAGGGTCGGTTTCCACGGGGCACCCGGGACCGCGTGGCTGAGTTTTCTTGGGCTGCCGCGGAAAGACCGTGGCGCAGCCAGCCGACCTCGGGACAGTCTGAGGCTGTGTTTTCAGGATCGGAAGAGAGGCGGAGACCGAAGAGTCGGCGCTGGCAGTCGGGCTCCGACCGTATCGCCGAAGGGAGTGTCAACGGTCTCCGTAGCCCTTTAAGGCTCAAAAAGGTATCATCGATATCAGCGCCACGCCATTTTCAATGCTGACGAGTCTGATGATGGTAATGGTGGTGTTGTTGGTGGAGGTTGGGGGTGATGATGATACTGCACATGAAAATTATGATGACGGTGTTGATGCTGTTCTCGTCATGATGATGATTGTTATGGTGATGATGATTTTGTTGACGATATTGAGGATGTTGATGCTGAGGATGATGCTGATGATGATGCTGCTGATGATGACGATGGTGAATGATGATGACGACGACGACGATGATGATGATGATGATGATGATGATGATGATGATGATGATGATGATGATGATGATGATGATGATGATGATGATGATGATGATGATAATGAAGATGAGGATGATGATGATGAGGGGGAGGAGGAGGAAGAGGGAGAGGAAGAGGAGGAGGAGGAGAAGGAGGATGAGGAGGAGGAGGACGATGACCAGGAGGAGGAGGTCGAGGAGGAGGGAGGCAAGAGGAGGACGGAGGAACTAGGAGGGAGGGGCGAGGCAGATGAGGGGGAGGATGCGTGCTCTGAATGCACGACCATGGTGAACTAGCCTGCCAGCGGGAGCGTCCTCTGTCCTTCGCATGGCCAGCGTGGCTGTGCCCTCAGTTGTCCAGCACCAGCGCGGCTCGTAGCCATCGGGGGCCAGGTCGAGCACGTTATGGCCACGCAGACGCTTCCGATGAAGCCCCAGAAGAACATGCGCATCAAGGCAGCGCGAGCCCTCCGCCGTCCTCCCTCCTGCTCCCAATTCCCTCCTTCTTCCTCCTTGCTCTTCCTCTTCCTCCTCTTCCTCCTCCTCCTCCGCCTCCTCCCTCCTCCTCGTCCTCCTCCATCCTTCTTGTCCTCCTCCTCCCTTCCTCCTTTCTCGATCCTTCGCCCCCTTTTCCTCCCTGTCCCCAGTGGCCTTCAGGGGCCTCCGAAAGCCCGGAAGGCGCCAGAAATGTGCAAAACCTCGATCATCGAACCTGCTCCACACTTCCCTCCTTCTCCGTGCTGCCCCGCGCCGCTGCCTTGCTTTCGGTCGTCGGCGCTCGACAGTCTGACTTGCCGCGCTCAGACCGATGTTAGCTACCTTGCAAGCTGAAGGGTGTCAGAGGTGTGCCGAGTCAAGATTGCCGATTGGCGAAGTGACGTGGTACGCGTAGACAAGCACAGTCGCATATTCTCATACAGCCGGGCCCTGATTGAGGTAAAGGTGAAGGAGATACCGAACTCGACTAAGCGAGTTTCTCTTTTCTGATCCTTCTTATGGACATGGCTGGATCCGCTCATAATCAGGCTTACCAGTAGGACTTGCCCTATTTCCGAATATCTCTCGTGTGGTCTTCCCCGAGGATCACACGCATCCATTTTGCGACCACTCTTCTCGCTGCCCCTGCGTGCGCTCTTCCTGATCTGCCACGTTGTCGCCGCGGCCCTCGAGGTGACCGGTGTGCTGAACGAGGCATGCACCTCCAAGGACGTCATTCTCCAGATAATCGGGGTGATCGGCACTGCGGGCGGCACAGGCCGGGGCGGTGCCCAGCCGCCGCAGGAGAGGAAGCAGGTGCGTCCTTTTTTTGGCCAGCTCCTTCTAGTTTCACTTAGGCCCTTGCTTCCTTGGCCTTGGGAGGTGGGCGACGAAATCTACACATGTCCACTGCCTCTGGCCATACATAGGCAATGAAGAGCGAGCCGTCTTGGTGATGAATGTCATTTTGATGATGGCGCTGGTGAGCGATGATGATGATGATGATGATGATGATGATGATGATGATGATGATGATGATGATGATGATGATGATGATGATGATGATGATGAGGACGATGATGAGGACGATGATGATGATGAGGATGATGATGGCGATCGTGGTTGTGGTGATGACCATGAGGTCGATGATGTGATGGCATGATGAGGAAGATGTGGTCAACATTAGAGGGTGAGTGAGAGTGAGGAGCGGGGGTGGGTGTGGTGGTGGTGGGGGTCGGGGAGTGTAGGTGATAATGATGTTGATGATGATGCTGATGATGATTCTGCTGCTGATTGATGATGCTGATGAAGATGATGACGATGCTGATGTGATGCTGATAATGTTGATGTGAATGTTGACGATGCTGCTGATGATGACGTCGATGATGATTTTGATGATGATGCTGATGATGATTCTGCTGCTGATTGATG